CCAAAAAATTCGGCTGTTGCACCGGACCCAAGATTGGTATACAGGTCCTGAGCTCACGTTCTACTTCGTGCTGAGCACGAAAGGGATCGAAGCTTTCCCTAGGTGAGTGTACCATAGACTCAATCAAGTACAGGTACCTATTTAGGGGAACCTTGAATAAGGTCAGGTGTTTGCGTTTGACCGGGCCTTGTTGACATCAGGATAAGGCATTATATTGCAATTTGATATTGTCCTATTATGTAGTCCTAAACATGGATATGGTTGGTACTGACCATCGTTTTTTGCAAAATTTCATACTAGTATTCCGATGTTTTTACATGGGACTCACAAAACCTGAGAGAAATACTAGGAACTTGAAACTTGGCACACAAGTTTCCTGTACGACTTGCATTACCTAGTTACAATTTCAACTACAGGAGGGAAATAACCATTGCTTTTAAACTGTGCACACATATCCTGTGGTATCCCAATACTTGATTGACAATATACTTATTAGGGAAACTTAACACGTATGCGACCCACACGATTGTTTAGATTTCCAGGTCGAAAGGTCAAGTATCTCGGTATGTGTTTATACATGTTCACAATATAACAAGGGAAAAATAGCAATTCCTTTACATTTGGTACTTGAGTGTTGATATGTTATTTGAATAGATCTATTGCATGTTGGCATCTTTGTTTAGTTGCATTCTTGTTTTAAATGTCTAGACAATAATTATGTATAATGAACTTAGTTGATACACTTCTAGTATAGATGGATACTTTTTAATGATCTCAAACAAATGTCGCTATGTAAATAAAGTCCTAAAGTTAACGTTTTTCAATAAAAGAAGTATTATCGACAATTTCTTGAGCGTGGTCCACTAAAGATAATGTCCAAATGTATTTAACATAACATTGATGCGTACTATTCAAAAGAAAGAAACAATCTGATTAAAATCTGATGTAGTGTACGGGCTTTAATTATTTTGGCTATAAACTTATTTTAATTTTATTACTTTTGTATTAATGCCTTTTTATTTTATTTTATTTTATTTTATTTTATTTCATTTTATTTTATTTTATATTATTATTTTACTTTGATTTTTATTTGCTGATTTTTTTAATTCCGCCCTACATACATCTGATCCGACGCCTATGTAAGTCCCGTTCAAATCTCGCGTAAGTAACAGCCAATCACAGCCCCCTTTTATACAGGCTGTCGGTTGCTTACTTTTCAGTGTAGCGATACTCCACGGGTAATCTTTCTGTACATTATATTTTGCCCACTTGAATAAACCATTAATAGAAAATTGCTAGTATATTTTTATTTACAAAAACAATTCCACAGCATTTTACAATTTTTGTCATTACAACAAATGTGTACACTTCCTGATACATCTTCGCCAGCCAAGGTTCGTTTATTCAGTCATCGCTTCAATTTTACATCAAACACTGAGCATAATTATCTAGAATTAAAGCAAAAAAATAAGTAAATCGTAATGATTAGAACACTGTAAACAGCTATAGTAAACAATGCAAACTGATTTTAAATTGTATAACGATCACCGGCCCACGGCATCGACGCAGAAAATTGGAGCAAAAACATATTTCCTGATCGATTGCGATGTGTTCCAAATAAAAAAGATTTTATTCCAGTCCAAATCAGCTCAATTACTTTAATAAAGAGATATTGTGTACATTTTGATGAATATTTACAGCTACGGCTTCAATACCGTAGACGATTTTGTTCCGATCGACAACAAAACTTCACCTTGCCCTGGAGGCAAGCGACTGGAAAAAGACACCGGTGTTCGGTCGAACCGGTGGAAACAAAATCGTCACTCCCAGAATAACTACGCAAAATAACGATCTAAACTTGAACCATTCGAGCCACAATACAAACATATAAACATAAAAAAAATACTTTCGTTGCATTTGACAATGATAAACTTACCGAAAAGCCGTGTTTTTCTGGTCGCTAACGTCGGTATAATCCGCCATTTTATTTGAGTGTGTTTTCCACCTGACTCTGCCCGGTGACGTCATCATGTGCGCTATAGAAGGAGGTCTCTGATTCAGATTTTAATCAGATTGAAGAAAGAAAGTGCCCTTCAATGAAAAAAGTGCCTAACTCGCCCTTAAAAAAAGACAAAGGGTATTTTCCTCGCTCTTGACAAATACCAAATAATTGAACAATATTCATATCGTCCAATACCTTTATTTTCGGTTTGTCTTCTGTTGAAGTCTAAGTCCCTGAAATTGTATTATCAAATAATATTTCTATCATGCATACAACTTTTTATAACAAATGAAAGCATACCACGCAATTACCGTTTTGAGATGTACGTTTTACCAGCAACCATTGAACCGTTTCTTATGTGCGTGGCATTATAAACTTCAGGGGAATCCCTTTCCCCCAAACTCCAGGTCACTACTTGATATAGCCCGTAATTCACTGTATCGACAACAACAATTCAACTAATTCAGATCCCTTTCCATCGGAAAAGAAACTCTTCCAGTCCCTCCCTACCGTTCGTTCTAGGTTTATAACTATAAAAACTATTAAAATTTGCCAAATCGTAACATAACGTAGTTAATATACTCGTTTTTGACGATTTATAATAAATAAATAAATCGCATTGCTATGAGTAATACTCTGAAGCGCTGTGCGTAAATCAACTTATACACGTACGTTTACTATCAGTTCTTTCAAACATTTGTTTTATGCTAATTAGACAGAAGTGTAGAAAATAATATTATTGATTCATACTTTAAAGGACGGTTGTCGTCGCGCCGCGCATATATAGTCTAGATGTGGGAGTCGATTACTAGTATTCTAAAACAAAAGTGCTCAATACAAAGTATATGTAGATCGGATAAATACGGTTATAGAGCAATTAATACACAACTACATGAATATTGAAACTCGACAGCACTGTTTAATAAGATACAAGTACCTCACTCATCAGGTCCTTTATGTTTAATACATTTTATGTTTGATGACCATGTAGTCTTTTTTTCCTAACCAATGATGGTGATCATGTTCATCTTGATGACCAAGCAGTCTGTGTGTCCAGGGTAATAGTATAGTAAAGGGTTAACTGGAGCACCTCCCTTATGCCGTGCTTTTGCAAATTGGCAGACCCCAACCCCATCTGAACACATTCAAAAAACATGTGACAAATATTCTTGCCTGAGCCCATCCAAAATAAATGTGAGAGCCCTTCCAGATGATATAATGGTATTAGCTCAACGTTATAATAGAATTACTATTGAAAAATAATATTTATATTTAGAGAGTTGAAACATTTAAACATAACCATAAGGACTAATATAATGAACGGTTATTTATTTCATACATTGTGATGTATGGAAACCATTAGAGACAAAAACGTTTGAAAACCATGACAAAACTAGAATATCATACTAAAACATTGAGAGAAAGGCGAAGGAACTGTTGTACTTTATATCCTTTCATTTTGCTTTGTTTTTGTGTATTCATTAAAATAAAATTGATATTAAAATTAGGGACAACAGTAACCATATATTTTCCCTTCATGCCTTGCAGTTCATACATTTTACTGTTTTCCTTTTTTTCTGTTTTGTGTTGAAACTACGTAATTCCTTCACTACTGGACACTAAAAAATTTATTCCCCACGGATATATGTGTGTGTAAAAACAAGCAAATATTTCCGGTCTTGTTACTTGGCTGATGCTTTGGTAGGATATATATACAATGGCTACAATGTTTACCATCAAAGTAGGCCAATCTTTAGACGAAGACTGGGTTCCTACATTATCTTTTGACCTCGTCTTGTAACAAGTTGCATAATTGGATTGGGAAAGTCCCTTTATTTTTCATTAGAAATACCATGCATTACCAAAATAAAGAGTTGTTTGTGTTACTACACATTGACATGCGAGGAGAATCGTGTTCAGACAGAGCAAAGTACGGAAAATGTAGTTTTTCCATCAAGTCGTAGTTTCTATGAATTGTCTGTATTATTTCGAACTTCCTTCATAACTTGGCATGACGAATGACATTTGGTTTCGTTATGCCATGTGACATGCTCACATTCGTAAAATGTAACCTACTAGTAGTATCCGGGCATTCCTATTTGGAAATATTTTCAGTTGGACCAATCACGTAAAATTGATTCAGGTATTTTGTAGGAAATGACGTGTTTGAAACAAAATTTGGGGTATTGTGATAACCTTTAGTGCATTTTGAAATACAAATTAGCGTGTGTTTGTTTGTTTGTTATGTAAATGCACGTTTACCGTGCAAGGTACGCGTGGGAGTCTGAACGTAGAAATGACGTCATAGTCAAACAATATCAAGCCAAATCACTCAAAACTACGGACAGTCAAATATATCAAAACATCAGTGTGTGAAAGAAATGTGGACCTCGAGAAGCGATATCATTCATTCTAAAAAGAGTATGGAACCGACCTTGTTCCATATTATTCTATAAAACGAACAAATGGTCATTAACCATTTCTAAATAATGATGAAATTACAAGAACACATAAGAGGCAGCAATAAATAATAAAGAATAATTGATGTGAAATTAATAACATATACAATACAGACGCTGCTAGTAACTAAAAATTCCATGTCATCTAAACCTATTTGATTAACTCAATATAAATTTAAAATTTACTTGATGAAGAATACGCGATAAGAAATATCGTCCACAACAGCCAACAACGTTCGATTTATTTATTCGGTATAATAAAACATGCAGTTACCAAAATAGAAGTCAATATTCAATTTAAATGACCCGCGGAGAATTCATTGACCTCGGTTAATAATTCCCATCCGTCCTCTTCGGGTCATTAAAACTTTATATTGACCTCTACTACGGCAACATTATATAGCCTATAAATCATATACGACCTAATTGTTAACTTTATATTCAGCGGTATCATTAAATTAACTTTTCTCAAGAATAATATTTCGAAATTGTGATGAAAACCACATTTATTTTAGTTGACTAAGTAATGCATTATGACATCAGATGCGGTTTTCTGCCAGGTATTCTTTAATCCTTCGTGGGAGTGGCAATTGCTGGATGTGATCCAAACGACTAAATTCGCGGATAACAAATCTGCATAGATATTGAAGTGACGGAACATCCGTGAAGTGAGACACGGGATTAGTCAGATTAACTGCAATATATCCACTGGTATAAAAGAAATCCCCATCTCTGCAGTCTTGCATGTATGTCTCTATTAAATCTACAATTGATTGGTTGTAGTATCCACATCTCAAACTGAACATACCATTGTAATATTGAAATCTAATGTGGTATGTCATGCCATAAGAACGGAAGCTAAGACTTATCAAGTAGCATCCATGATAACTATCACGGACAAGAAATGATCCATCAGGTCTGTCGTTTAGTATATCATCGGCCTCAATAGAAGTCAATGGTCCCCAGTACCAATGTTTTTTTGAAAGAACATACAGTTGTTCATGTAATGTTGGTGAATGGTCGTCGAATGTACCACAGGTATCGAGATCCGTACCACTAAGTGGTTGCGTTATTGCTAATGACTGGTCTTCGGTGTGATTTATTCCATTATTGTCTTGCGTTTCCCTGGATGAACTGTGTTTTGGAATGTCGTCAATGGCGTCGTCTGTGTGTTGTGTATTATTTTCAGTGCCTGGTAGAGTCCATGTTGAATCCAAATCACCTGCATTGTTGTTCCACTTGTCGTTGTCTTCTGTGTTTTCCTTGTGATTGTCCACGTCTTTCGTACAGTCAAAATTACTCGTACCATTGCCAACACAGACGCGCGGACGTAAACTATCACAATAACCCAAACCATGGCTGCTGGCATCGTCTTCTTGTTGTTGTGGAATTGACTGATGAGTTGTACATTCCTCTGTTTTCGACCTCGACCTACTGGGGTGTTTCTTGCTCGTCCGTATAGTGAATCTTCTCTTAATAGTCTTTATAAAGCTTACCTTCGTTTTATTCACATTAGAAGTAGAGTCATGTCCACTCAACTCGACAGAACTCGGCATAGGTTCACCGCTTTCCTCATATACACCATGTTCACTGTTTGAACGATAGTACCTAGTTTTCGAGCCTTCTTTGACGATAATTCTTTTCATTCTCGCATGCAGTCAGCCGCTAACACCGTTCTTGACCGGTAAAATGAACGCGCACAGTGTAGGACTGATTAGTAATCCAATAGCAAACTGTAACAGCTAAATATAAATGTTACTTCCTGGTTCGGTGTACAGAGGGTAAAAAAAAGGTGCGTTTACGCTCATAAACTGGGCACTGAGGGTGCTTTGCCGTATACGGTGTGTACAGATTGCGTGGATTGAGACCAAACACAAGGGTGCGTGTTAGATTGTTAAAGTTCACCACAGAGATAACCTAAGAAATCGACTATCAAATCAAGAATGGATAAAAATGAATCTTATTGCTCTGTCGGAATAAATAATGATGACGACATTATCATTTATTACTCCCATCACCTGGGTTATGTGATCATGTAGCTGGACTATTGTCATTGGTGACTATTAGAGAGACTATTAGAACAGCAAGATGAAATATGCATCTGCCCCAATTATATAGACGACCCATCCCTAATTGTAGGATGTATGTAAGTAATTCCACTTCGTTTTGTTTGTGGAAATAAGTCTATCTGTTGTGTCCTGTTTTATCAGATGAGTCGGGACTTGTTTAGCCTGACAAGTTGGCGTAGGTGGCACCCTGGACTGCTGCGATCCCCACCACTTCGTCTGCAGAGGAATGTACAACTCATCAGTCAATTTCACAACAACAACAAGACGATGCCAGTAGTAATTATAACCGGCCGTTGATTAATATTTTGGGGGTGGCTTTCAGTCAGTGTATGTTTTTTATTTCCCATAAATGACTTATACCATCATGAGTTTGTGTCAAGTCCCAAGTTTTCCTTTAAGAGGAACACTTGCACGCACATGGGCTCATCAAATTTCTTTCTATTTACTCCTTCTGTTCATTGCGTATCGTGGTTTTGTGTGACGATGTATACCTCCATGGTGTGACTATACCTATACGGCAGGTTATCATTGTACTTTTCACACGCCTTTATACAGGTGCATCATGGGATAGGGAATTTTCCATCTGAGAATATAACCCGGAAACAGGATGCCGTTAGTTTGGCTTTGTCCTGTTCACAGGTAAGTCTATTGGATTAAAGTGTTCACGTTTGTTTTTATGTTTCTCACGTGCAATCGACATTCTAGTCTTATTGTATATTGAACCACAGTAACAACAACAACAACTGATATCTTTTGTAGTAGATATGAAACTCGGGTCAACTTTGAAACATTTACTAACTCGGCCACACTGTCATTTTACAGAGGTCTCTGGTGTCTTTCAGCATGTCATGTCAAGCAACACTACCGAGTGATGTCTCTTCAGATGCCACCGCATATTCCGGTATGTATCGCCTGTCATGATTACATTGAATTTAATACTAGTACAGTCACCATAATGTTCTTCACGAATCACTACTCTCAGTCATTGTATGATACATATGGGAATATCGAAGAATGGATTTATAGCGATTGTCTCAGTTTGGTTTGTAAGGATTCATTGATTGCCTGACCTGGCACCTCGTATAAAGCGCACTACAAAATAATGGTGGATTGTTTGCACAATAAAAGGTTATAGTCAAAAAAGTCCCGGATATTGACCGAATAATGTCATTGTAAATCAAACCATAAACTGATATTAATATAAAACCGTGTACATAATACGAGGGTAGATACCTTTGAGCCGCGTACAAAGTCGACTCCAACGAATCTTAAAGCGCGGGGGGGGGGGGGGTCGTCACCTGCGCACGCGCGGGAATTGTGTCCCAAGCGACGATAACAACACACGCTAAAACGCAAAGGCTCATGGGTAGACGCTTGTTTGTAAACAATGACACGGTATGGCCATCTGACGCAGGTGCAGGTGACGACTTCCCCGCTCCAATATACATACGTGCGTGCACTAAAACTAGAGTGTCAAAACGCCGTCTAAGCAATAATATGACAAAACCCCACACCCTCCCCGTGGCTTTCGTTGCGTACGGAAGTTATTTTCACGAGTGATGCGATGTATCCTGCGGCCGTACTTTCACGA